CAACGCTCCTCTCATCGGGAGAGGGCAATCTCCATCAACATCTTCATCAGCACCATCTCATCTCAAAACCCTAGTTCATCTCTTGTATCCAATTCTTATCTCCAAGTCCGGGATTGGTGCTAGTAGGTTACTAGTAGTGTTAATTACTCCTTGTAGTTGATGCTAGTTGGTTTAATTGATGGAAGATCATATGTTCAGATCCTTTATGCATATTATTACCCCTCTGATTATGAACATGAATATACTTTGTGAGTAGTTACGTTTGTTCCTCGGGACAAGGGAGAAGTCTTGCTATTAGTAGTCATGTGAATTTGGTATCCGTTCGATATTTTGATAAGATGTATATTGTCTAGCCTCTAGTGGTGTTATGTGAACGTCGAGTACATAACACTTCACCATTATTTGGGCCTAGAGGAAGGCATTGGGAAGTAATAAGTAGATGATGGGTTGCTAGAGTGACAGAAGCTTAAACCCTAGTTTATGCGTTGCTTCGTAAGGGGCTGATTTGGATCCATATGTTTCATGCTATGGTTAGGTTTACCTTAATACCTTTGTTGTAGTGGCGGATGCTTGCAATAGAGGTTAATCATAAGTGGGATGCTTGTTCAAGTAAGAACAGCACCCAAGCACCGGTCCACCCACATGTCAAATTATCAAAGTGCCGAACGCGAATCATATGAACGTGATGGAAAATAGCTTGACGATATTCCCATGTGTCCTCGGGAGCGCTTTTCCTTATATAAGAGTTTGTCCAGGCTTGTCCTTTGCTACAAAAAGAATTGGGCAACCTTGCTGCACTTTATTTACTTTTGTTACTTGTTTCTCGTTACAAATTATTTTCTCACAAAACTATCTGTTACCACTTATTTCAGTACTTGCAGAGAATACCTTGCTGAAAACCGCTCATCATTTCCTTCTGCTCCTCGTTGGGTTCGACACTCTTACTTATCGAAAGGACTATGATAGATCCCCTATACTTGTGGCTCATCAGAACGTTGCATGGAAAAATAAAAAATTCTATGCACACGCAAGATCTATCCATGGAGGTGCATATTTACGAGAGGGGGAGAGCATCTTCATACCCTTGAAGATCGTTAAGCAGAAGCATTTATCAATGCGGTTGATGTAGTCGCACACCTTCACGATCCATCCCGATCAAGTACCGAAAGTACGGCACCTCCGTGTTCAGCACACGTTCAGCTTGATGATGTCCTCGCCTTCTTGATCTGGCAAGAGGGGTGAAGTAGTAGATGAGTTCCGGCATCACGACGGCATGGTCACGGTGGTGGTGAAGAACAATCTCCGCAGGGCTTCGCCAAGCACAACGAAAACTATGTCGGAGGATAATCTAGAGGGGCGGGGTTGCCTGCACACGGCTTGGTGAATCTTGATGTGTCTTGGGTGCTAGCCCTACCCCTCTATTTATATTTTGAGCCTTGGGGTCGTTTCTTCGAGAAAGAGCCTCCTCAAAGTCGGTTTAGCCCGCAAGGCAAGAGTCCTTCTCGGACTCCAAGACCAGACGCTGGGGTCCCTGGTGTCTGGCCCCTGGCCTTCGCAAAACTTCCTTTTGCACCTTCCTAAAGCCTCGTGGGCTTTACCCCTTGTCCCAAATAAAGTGTTCTCGTACCCGAACATTTCGGAAACATCCGAAACCCCTTCCGGTGAATTTCGGAACATTTCCGGAGACCAAACACTATTATCTCATATATTAATATTTACCTCCGGACTATTCTGGAGCTCCTCTTCATGTTCATGATCTCATCTAGGACTCCGAACAATATTCGGTCACCAACATACATAACTCATATAATACTATATCGTCAACGAACGTTAAGCGTGCGGACCCTACGGGTTCGAGAATGATGTAGACATGACTGAGACGCTTCTCCAGTCAATAACCAATAGCGGGACCTGGATGCCCATATTGATTTCTACATATTCTACGAAGATCTTTATCGGTCGAACCTTTATGACAACATACGTAATTTCTTTTGTCCATCGGTATGTTACTTGTCCGAGATTTGATCGTCGGTATCTTCATACCTTGTTCAATCTCGTTATCGGTAAGTCTCTTTACTCGTTCCGCAATACATCATCACGTAACTAACTCCTTAGTCACTTTGCTTGCAAGCTTCTTGTGATGTTGTATTAACGAGAGGGCGCAGAGATACCTCTCCGATACACTAAGTGACAAATCCCAATCTCGATCCATGCCAACTCAACAGACACCTTCGGAGATACTTGTAGAGCATCTTTATGATCACCCAGTTACATTGTGACGTTTGATAGCACACAAGGTATTCCTCCGGTATCCGGGAGTTGCATGATCTCAGGTCGAAGGAATATGTATTTGACATTAAGAAAGTAGTAGCAATAAATTGAACGATCATATGCTAAGATAATGGATGGGTCTTGTCCATCACATCATTCTCCTAATGATGTGATCCCGTTATCAAGTGACAACACATGTCTATGGTTAGGAAACCTTAACCATATCTTGATCAACGAGCTAGTCTAGTAGAGGCTTACTAGGGACATGGTATTTGTTTATGTATCCACACATGTATTTAAGTTTTCGGTTAATACAATTCTAGCATGAATAATAAACCTTTATCATGAATAAGGAAATATAATAATAATCACTTTATTATTGCCTCTATAGCATATTTCCAACACAAACGACCTCGTCAAACAAGGCTTTGAAGGTAAAAAAAGGTACTTGCCGCTAAAAATGAGATCTAGTAACCCACGAAGAAACATAAGAAACATCGATTGAGGCATCACCTCGCGTAATCCAAACTTGCAATCCTTCACCACCTGTCAAGAGAGTTGGAGAAAACAGACCATGCCACACACAAAAAGTCGAAAGAAGAGGTTGATTGTAACGCCTCGAACACACGCACCGGTTACTGGCCATTGCACCTGACGGATTTAGACCGATCCCATAGATCAATACTAGTCTTTCCTGTGCACTTTGTCCTCACTCGTGCACACTTGGGACCAACTTCCTAGTCGGTCACATATCCTGAAATTGCTTCAAGATGAGCACGCTTAACTTTGAAGTTCTTTTCGAATAGGCTCCCGGAAAAGAAGGAATTCCTTATTGATATCAGTAGTCTATCATCCTATTAAGCCAGGCTATCACATACACCCCCCACTCAAAGGAACCGACGTCCACGTCGGGCCACGGGAACGTTCCCTCTTGGCACATATGAGCTTTGATACCAACTTGTAACGCTTTGGACACACCCGCCGGTTATTAGCCGTTGCTCCTGGCAGGATCTAGACCGGCCCCATAAATCAGTACTAGTCTTTCATGTTCACTTTATGATCACTCGTGCGCAACTGGGACTAAAATTGCTCCAAGCTGAGCACGCTTAACTTTGGAGTTCTTTCTGAATTGACTCCCGGAAAAGAAGAAATTCTTTATTGATATGAGTAGTTTATCATCTCTATTAAGCTAGACTATCACATTGATGTCATCACGCCAAAATCGAGCTAACTGCTTCCCTTGATTGCACACCAACACCAAGATCCAAAGAGGGACAACAAAACTAGCAGCGCCTACCCTTATAGGCCCTTCATAGGTGTCGGATCTACGTCGTCGAGGTAGGAAGAGGCCGGAGAGACACTATTCTGACGCGCCATCAATGCCAACGCCTCATCGATTCCGTTAAGGAACAAAAACCTAAGTCAAATAAGGATCTACTAGAACTAAATGAAACTGGCAGGTCCCCAATACTCTAACTAATGACAAGGCCGTCAAATGCGATAGAAAGGAGATGTCGAGGTTGTGGTGTGGATGGACATTAGATGCCTGCTAGGGTTGGGGAAAAGGGAATGACTCGCTAAGTTAAATTGTTTGTACCATCCCTAAAAATGTAAGCATGCTAATTAAAACTAAGACAATTAGTCAAACATGTGGGGGATTAACATAGAGGGGAGAGACAAGTTACAATCCAACGTTGAGTTGGGGAAGGAGAAAGGCATGGAGCATCGGTGGATATGGCAGCAGCCCTTCAGCCGTTGTGGGGCGTTGGCGAAGCCTCTCCTTCCTTCTTCCTTGTCTTGGCCTTCCTCCATGGTGGATATGGTCTTGCCGCAGCAATGGAGGTGTAACGACTCGTGGAAGATAGATTGGAGATGGATGCCGGCGACTAGCGTTGGAGGCGTATAGATAGGAGGCCTCCACAGGTCTTCTCTATGGATGTGACTTCTCCCCTTTGATCCAAGGATTTTAGAGGAGCTCAATCCCCACCCAATATCTTCCTTGGTTTCTAAGGACTCATAGGAACAAACCTGGACAAATTGGTGAATAATCATGAAAGTTATGGCTGATTCCTCAGCCAAAAATGGGCGGTATGCCTGTGCATAGTCGTAAAATACACATAAACATTTCTTAAATACACAGTGAAACATTTTTTTTAAATACACAATGATCTTTTCTTAACATATGGTGACTATTTCTATTAATACATGGTGGACAATAATATGTTGAACTTTTTTAAGGCATAGGTCAAATTTTTGTAAAGATATGGTGAACATTTTTTAAATATACGATGAACATTGTTTTAAACACATGACAATCGTTTTTTCTTAAATACATTGTGATCGGTTTCTATAGATAAGTAAAATAAAAAATAGTTTCCTAAATATTTTTTAAATTTTAAATATATATATAAACTGATGAAGTCGAAAGGTCAAATAAAAATGGTAAGAAAAAGAAGGCAGACGAGTCGACGAGACCGTACCAAATAAAAATGGTAGGAAAATCAGCAGTGTAATGCAGAGGCAGACTCTATCTCCGGCTCGCTGAGGGCGACATATAGACGCGCCCGACCCAACCTAGCGTGACGGTTCCCAGAAATATCCCAGACATGACCGCAACCGCGAGCACAACGTTGACGCACTATTCCCCACCAAAGACGTAATCGTCAGCCTTGGCGTGCTGCAGTTTGACAAGCACACGCGCACGCGCGCGCTCTATTTCTATACGCGCAATGGAATTCCGGGGAGAGGAGGACGGGGACGGCAGCGACGTGGGCGACGGCGCCCCGCCCGCGGCACCTCACCGCAGCGCCACCGCAAACGGGCCGGCAGACAACATGCAAGCGGAGGCGAGGCGGCAGTACCACGAGTGCCTCCGTAACCACGCGGCGGCCGCGGGCGGGCACGTCCTGGACGGATGCTGCGAGTTCATGCCGGCCTCTCCCGAAGACCCACTCGCATGCGCGGCCTGCGGCTGCCACCGCAGCTTCCACCGCCGCGACCCCTCGCCGAGGCGCGCCCACTTGCCGCTGCTGGCTGCCAGCGCGCGCGCACCATTGCTGCTCCCGCCGGCGGCGAGCAAGCACCCGCACCAGCGCTTGCCGTTCCCCTACGGCCTCGCGGCCAGCGGCGGCACCGGCACGACGACCGAGTCCTCCAGCGAGGAGCGGCGTGGGGCGTCGCCGGCGCCGCGGAAGCGTTCCAGGACGACGTTCACGCGGGAGCAGAAGGAGCAGATGCTGGCGTTCGCGGAGCGCGTCGGGTGGAGGCTGCAGCGGCAGGACGAGGCGATGGTGGGGCATTTCTGCGCGCAGGCCGGGGTCCGGAGGCAGGCGCTCAAGGTCTGGATGCACAACAACAAGCAGAGTAGCAGCGGTAGGAGGCAGCAGCAGGAGAAGCAGCAGCTTCAGGAGCATAGACAAGAGCAGCAGCAGCAGTAGCCATGGCAGGAGACGGGTTCCATAGTAGTAGGAGGCAACACTCCTCGCGCCCTTGTAAAGTTTTTAACTGTCGGAAAGTTCTTCTGTTCTTTTTCACTATCTTCTAATTGGGCTGATCACTGTTGCTTCTCTGTCATATCAGTGCACGATCATTCCTGGTAGGAGCATTGGTTGGATTGGATTGGATTGGGATATTTCTTTTGGTTATTTTTCTGTATACATTTTTTTTACTATAAAGAAAAATACTGTCTACACAATGTAGTACGTTGTATTTCATTTTATATTTTATTTTCGAGTTGGTGAACTACGCTGTATTATAAGCCTTAATTCATATACTAGTGCCCTTAAAATTAAAGAAACCATGAGCACACTCATTCTGATAATCGCAACCGATGTGAAAGAGTTTCTATTGGATGGTTGATTTTGCGTTTACCGAATCAGAATGGCTTGCCGAGGCATGGCCATGGCCAGACAGCAGCTGGATTATACCAGGCTTAATACAAGTGGACGGTTAGATTTCCACGCGGGACAGGTAATCGCATTGCCTGTTGTGTCCGCATCTGTTATCTTTGAGTTGGATTACAAGGATTTTGTTTGAAGGAATTGTGAGGACCATGGTGCGAGGGAGGAAAGGTTGACAAGGATGCCATGGGTTGGATACCCCTCAAGATAACAGGCAAGCAAAAAGGAAAGAAACTTCAACATCTTGAGATCTTGCACCATTCGCAGCTTATAAATTCTTGAGAAGAGTTCCACTCGAATCTTCATGAGGTGAAAAGGACAAATAGCCACTAGTCTTATAAATGTGGATTGAGCTATACGAGCATATAAGTGAAGATTTGGACATTAAATCATAACTGGTTTAAAATGTAACGGCCCTAACAGAGTGGCGGCCGTTAATATGAGCACGAAATTGAATCCGAATAGAAAGTGCTATCAGAAATTCGCAGTCGACCATAAGAACAAGGTACTCCCTCCATATAAATATATCTAGCATAATACATTTTGGAGATTGCCTTCGATCATTGATTAAAAAAAATCAGAGACAAAAGACTTGCCCAATTCATTAATTATAAGGAGAAGGTGTTCCGGACTCCAAGGTTGCGACCGAAACCCTAGCCGCCGCCCCATCTACCCCCCTTCTCGTGGTCGCCAAAGCACGTCATGTGGCAAAGCCCGTGTTGCAGCAGCGGCGGAGAGGTCCTAATCAGGGACGGCCTGTCCATGGAGGAGTTGGAGGGTTGTTGCGGGATGGTGAAGGAGATGTGTACTCGAGTGGCGGTCTTTGTCAGGCTATGCTCGACGGCGGCGTTGGTGATCACCGGCGGAGCTATGGCAAGGCTCAAAGGGCCTTGGCCCGCCCTTGGCTGGAGCAAAAAGGAGTTTTACATGGAGTTTATCCAACAATGATGCATTTATTTTTAATTTAGTAGTACTATTTGCACTATCTAGCCCGCCCAACAATTTTTGGGTAGCTCCGCACTGTTGGTGATCTAACATAGTGATCTTCTATGACGCCCAGACGGCCTAGGTCACTGGAGAACAGGGAGTCGGTGCATAGTCCTGAATGGTGGCGAGCTCGACATCAGATCCGGACCTGTCGTGTAGCAGCATGAGTGATATTTTTTCAGGTTTGCATCAGGGAGTCTTCGAGTTTGGTTTGGGGCGGTGATGTGTCCTATTTATTACCACTTTTTATTAGTTTTTTGTGTTGTAGACGCCAGTTTTGTCTGAATTTTATCACGTTTGCACACGTCTTTTTGTCTGTTTTTGCACGGATTCCAACCATATGAAGTTTCGAGGCATTAGGAGGAAAGTACAAGAATATGGGGTAAAAATCACGTCAATTTATGTGATAAGAACCTACCATATGAAGCCACGAGCAAACAGAAAGAAAACCAGTTGCACAAAGGGATCCAGAGAAGATGGCGTCTAGTATGAACGTCGGCGCTCATACTAGTAGGATCTTACCATAGGGGAATCCGTTATAGCCGCCTCTCCCTGATAGACTATATTACCCATATCTTCGGATGCGGGTATGATACCCAGAGAGGCCAGAGAATCCATCAGATTGAAGAACCCCAGCCTCTGGAAGGGGTTCGTCATGCCATCACCCTTTGCTATCATGTGCACACAAGTTCCCTTATACAATGTGTGAGATACTCATACACTTATCGCCTGTGCACGATAGACAACCGATCACCCACGTTCAGTTTCTGGGCACACAAGTTTATTTTCCTACTGTTTGTGGTGTTGTCATTGCACACAGTCTGTCCCCATCTTGCACAAGTCCCATTGTGTATTAGTGATATGATTGACAAGATTTGAGTGATGTGCCATAAATATTGTACTGTATTTTTTTCTGAAACGTGAATCTACGAATACATTTTGTGTGATTATAACTAATATTTTATTGACCAAATTAATAATCAAAGTTTTTGATATACATGCGAGTTTTATAAACCAACATTAGAGTTGTCATGGTATCAGTTCCCTATCTTCTGTTGAATTACTAGGTGCAAATGAAGAGATATACGAGAGTTTGCCCACATACGGTTATCTCAAAGGCAGAAACCCATTCCGCCCAATTTATTCAGATTGGACTATCCGAACCATATTTAGCATCCATCGGCTCCTCCATTTTGGGCTCCGATGGTCTGAAATCCCCCGGCCCGGCCCCAAATCGAGGGGAGTCTAGCTGTGCGTCCATCCTCGTCCACACAAAAACCCTACCTGGTCCCATCCCCATCCCACGTTCAACTCTCCTTCTCGCTCTGGGACCCCAAGGTCGTCGCCAAATCCACCTTAGACGTTGTTGCCATCGCTGCAACACCACCTCCATTGGATGCCGCCGCCACAATGGATCTCTTCCGGCCCATGGACCTTACCCTATCGAACATCTTTGAGGTGCCGCCATCGGGCCGAATCCAATGAGCATCAAACACTAAGACTCGCGCACCAGCAAAGGCATGATAGGTCGATGAGGTGGCGCGCGCGAGCGAGATAGCTCCTCCTGCTCGTTGCGTCGTGATGCGATGTGGGTTCACCATATGTGTAGTGGTGTGATTGCACACTTTGATAATGATGATGGGCAATTATTTGTTCAGTTGCTTTTGTTTGAAATTGTTGAATCTGGGTTATGGAAAGCTTGAATTGCTTGTCATGAGCAATTTATCTTTAAATTTTTTGGAAGTGATACATGTATGGTTGAATTGCTTTTGATTGTTGCAAATTTATGAAATTTGACTTCGCAAAAAGGAGGGACAAATAGGTAGGGGACTGTCTTTTTAATAAATAAAATATCAATTTTATTTATTGGAAATTATAGTTGCGTCGTCAATAAGGAAAGATACATATCATCCATAGGGCTCAAACCAATTCCTTGTCATGGAAAATTTCGCTAACCTAGAGCAACCTTATTTGCTTCTCTATTATAATGTTTAAATCTAGTAAGAGAAAAATTGCACGCCATAAATAGCAATCTTGAGACACTATCACCACCGCTGCCACGGAATATCCTTTATTTTTCATTATGTCAATCACTTCCATATTGTTGGAGTTAATAAAACGATTACATCCCGCTTTATGTGTAAGTAATAAGCCAAATTTTAGAGCTGACACTTCTGCTGACAAAACATGTGCACACCAATTAGTTGTCGGAGTTAATAGGTAGGGGACTGTTGGTGCTAGTGTTTTTATTCGAACACATTACAAACGCAAGCGCTCATACATACACGCATACACTCACTCGTATGAACGCACACATACACAGCCTACCTCTATGAGCATCTTCGAGAGAATGAATCAGCATATCATCTTAATATTTACGAATTTACCGCAGGTGCATCGTCGTCAACGGGAACATCTTCTCTCACTGAAAGCACATCGACAGAAATTCTGAAATAAATTCAGAAATAATGCGAGCACATGGATACTTCATTCGTGTTTGTTCCAGTGTTAGATAACCAGACACCAACCAATTGTCCGCGAACACGTACACATAGAAATGGAGGGCTTTTGTTTGTATTTCCCCTGATACCCTCATTTGCCTTCCCGCCACTAAAAATACACAAATACACTAGACCGTGAAAATACACGGATGAACATGGTTCTGGGTGCAGCCACATGAAAAGTAAAAAATAAAATAAAATACTAGGAAAAATAGGAAAACTGAAATTTTGGGGTGTCAAACTTGGTGACCATTCTACTCACCTGTGAAGTTTCATTTAGAAATGACGCCCACGGAACAGTGTGTTTTAATAGCTTTGATTTTGACCTTTTTTTCTTGATGAAACATCAAATGAGCAGAAATCACTAGAATGGACGATCAATTTGGTACCCAAAAATTTCAGATTTTTTTCCTAGTATTGTTTCTTAATTATAATGTTCTAACAGGCGCGTGAAACCAGGTTCCAAAAAATCCTGTTCTCCCATTCGCTCCGTAACTCCCATGTCAGCAAATCTCGACGGATTTAAAGCCAAGTAGTCCTTCAACTCTTTGTTCCTAAGAAACTCCGACGTCCAACTTGCAGAAAAACAGCTGAACTACAGCAACAAATTACGACCTGCCATTTACATGGGAAGAAATGCAACTGCTTTTTATAGAAGATATGCTTGCGGTCTCAGAGATGAAGGAATGCCCTACAGAGTCAACATCTAAAACACTCGTGCAGGTAATTATCATCAGGCGATGGTGAACTCATCAGGTTCGGAGCACAGATCTGCAGCTTGTCATTACCAAGTCTCTACTTTTTTCCAGTACGGGGCTTTCCTTTGACATCAGATTCCTATATGACAGAACGATTGTCAGAGAAGAACTAAGCAAAAGATATCAGGCATCATAAAAGGATACTGTGACGATGTTATGTGATCTTTCAAAGGGGGGTGCCTATATATAGGAAATGCATATATATAGGGGGGTGCCTATGTAAAAGTTTATTGTGTCTTTGCAAGGAATTTTGAAATCAATCGAAGACTTAAATATGCTATATACATCATAAGAAGCACAAACCTGCACGCTATGCAGAAAGATATTTGTCTTTGCAGTAGAAGGATTATGCTTCTCGGCGCCCTTGCTCCAATCATAGCATACCTAACCAATTTAGGCAACATTAGCAATTTGAACACCAGAGTGTATATGCCTCAGCAAAGGAGAACAGAATACAGTACATCAGTACATGACAGTCAGAATACGGACTTAATAACTTGAACAGAGTAGGCAATTTTGTCCCCGCCACACCAACTAGTCAATGACTACTGCTTTTTGACATTGAAAGTGCCATACTACCAGTTAATCAAAGCCTTCTCAGTTTTACCATCTACAAATTTGTTACAATTAGGATAGAAAACATACAAACCAGTATCATCACATGTAATAAACTCTGACCCTGCAACTTAAGCACCCTATCTTATCCATTAGCATCATGTACATTCAGTGATACATTAGGTATTCCTCCCACTCTCACTGTTGGCTACTAGTGTTTGAATGTTATCTGTTGAGCTCTATTACAATAGAGAGCAAATAAATCTAGCAAAATTGTCAAAAGCAGGAAATGCATATTTAACAACTTATTCTGGTGCAGATAGCAACAAGAGATGGCCTACCGCATAAGCAAAGATTGAGCCATCCTGATTGAATGTGCTGCATGTGATGGGTGATGGGCACTTACTAAAAGCCTGTAAAGGAAGAATAATACATCAAAGATAAATCTTTAAACAGCACAAATGAAAAATCTTATACTGAAGTCCTAAACAATTTGGTAAATTGAATTCCTGTAAATCATCCAAGTCTCTCTGTTTGCAAGGAAACACCACTGTATGAATCTTTTTAATGATAAGCATTGTTTTTAAGGCATCCCGTCTTGGACGCTTAGGCGGCAAGGCATGCTGGCAGCGCCTTGCAATTATGCCCATTTTAGGCGCAGGCGCTTAGGCGTCAGGGTGGTGGGTGCTCGCCTTAGGTCGCCTTACCGCCTTAAAAACATTGATAGAAGACATATAACTCATGGTAAACTTGTCACTACCAGTGCCGGGGTTACATAAGGACACTGAAGGTTTCATGCGGATCATGCATCCTCAACTCAAGAAGTTTGGACTCTTACTACGTAAGCAAATGTGATCAATAAACAAATTCTTTGGAAAACGAGGAAATGATGATTTCTCTTTGAGAAACTAATATTTCACAAAGAAATATAAGGGCATGTACAATGGTTGATAAGACGGTCTTATCTTAAGTCTTGCCTGTAATTTAGAGATGACAAACAAAATTGTCTACAATGGGTAATCTCTTAGCCTTATCTTCAATAACTAGCATCTCCTAAAAACATGGTGAGACATATTGTGCTAAGAGATCATCTCTTGTCTTCTCTTAAATAAGAGAAGACAAGCCTTTTCTTATGAATTCTCTCTCCTCCACCTCATCATTTATCCTAGGTGGCACTCCTAAGATAGCACCATTGTACATGCCCTAACAACATTTTCCAGCTGTTGCATTACAATTTGTCCTAATTCTGTTTACCATAACTAATCTAGTTGAAAATACACATTAGAAATCACAGCATTAATTACTCTGCACCAATAGACAATGGGAGAATCACTTAAATAATTAGAGGGGGGGGGGGGTGACCTTCAGTCTTTGTTTACTGTCCTTGTCCCAAAAGTTGAAACCTCCATCAGAGCCTGCAGTAGCAAATGTATGGTGCACCTGAAAGGAATGCAAAGCACAGCAATTTGAATTGCTTAGTTCAAGACAGTTCCTGATAATTGCTGATCATAGGACAATCAGCAGGTATTCAGATATTTGAATTCGAATGAATGTTCATAGTGAGTGAGAGCAATTTTCTTCTCCAAATTTTTTAAAAAATATCGTCCTACAATCTCAGGAAATAGACAACAAAATAATTCAAATGGTATGAAGAAATTATCTTACAGGATGAAAGTTCAGCGAGTTAACAGAGAATATATCACTGCCCTCACGGTGACATTTGAATGTGAAATTCTTGCTTTGATTAGAATCATCCACATGATGAACACCAACGCGTCCCTCTATTGATCCAACCTTCAGAACAAGCCATAGGTTAATCAAATGCTCATGAAAAATAAAAACAGTAAACCGTTTATCTGCTACCTCCAGTACAATGGCTTCAAAACAGTATTGCCTAACTATAACACAAAACATAAGCAGTTGACAAAACGGTGAAATTTTACAAGAACTGGGAACAATTTTTACAGTGGACTTAGAATAACAAAATCCATGGACTTAAAACATTGGGTGGAGTGATTTTGCCAGGAAAGGTGGAACATACAATGAGAAATAAGCATTCAGTCACAAAAAAGGAGAAATAAGCATTAATTTCTCATAACAAGGTCGTTTTCTTCAACAATCCTAAAGTGCGGAATTTCTGCAGATATAAAATTTTGAAACAGAGAAATTGAGTGATGATGCATCCAGGACAATTGAATGGTGACACAATTAACATAGCATTCAACAATTCATGATATTTCTATATTCTAATAAATGCTAACGAAATACTTATAGTGTTTACTTGTTTTTCTGAATGCTCACCAAATATAGTTTTAAATTTGGACTCTACAGCTTAGTGGGTTTTATCATGTATTAGGTTGGAGGACACAAATGGCCAAACTTGTGCAGAAGACCTAGTTAGGGTTTGTTTATTTTTCTCAGGATAGAAGGTGTGTTAACTAGTTAGCCACATAAGTCATTAAAGAGATGATGAATAAGAGCTAAATTCACTGGAAGAACCCAGCAAACTGGGCCACACATTTGGATGAAACACAAGAAGTGGCACTACCAAGAATCCTTGTTGATCAGGGAAGGCGGCGATACACCTTGTCTGGAATTTCAAAGGTGACACGATCCTCTTGAATTCAGCCTGTTAAAAGTATGAGATTGTCAAATATGCAAGTAAGACTTAGAGCATCTAAAAAACATATGTACACTATTATTCCAGTAGCAAACATGTGGAAATTCAGTTGGACAGGACAACCCACAGCAAATCATTGCTTATTTACTCTTGCTACAGGTTGAGGAAAGAAATTGTCACCTTGATGATTTTTCACCTTCAAACACTTTACTCCAACTAAATGTTCATCAGGCCAGGAATAAGCCAACACCACGATGGTTGAGAAATTTTGAATGCTGTTAGCAAATAGCTTGCCTCTCTCAACCCACAGCAAAGCATTGCTTATTTACTCTTGCTACAGGTTGAGGAAAGAAATTGTCACCTTGACGATTTTTCACCTTCAAAGACTTAACTCCAACTAAATGTTCATCAGGCCAGGAATAAGCCAACACCGCGATGGTTGAGAAATTTTAAAATCTCAACCACATTAGGGGAATTATCGCAGTTTGAATTTTAACCTTTAAACAACTAAGAGAGGCAAGCTATTTTTTTTCCAAACCTTGAAAATTTTAACAACTAAGAGAGGCAAGCTATTTGCTAACACCATTTAGCATACCACTGAAAACACTTCACACAATGAAAAATGTCAATTTCACAATGATATCTTCCCTCTAGGGCAATCGCTATAATGGATATCTGCCCGCTAGAGTAAGACTTTGTTGTAATAGCACTGAAAAACAG